CGGACATGTTCAGTTGTAGAACTTCGTGGAAGTGCTGCCTGTGACTTCTGCTGGTGTGTGAAACAGCTGTGTAAAAGGATACATAACCATTCTGAGAAACCATTCTGGGGGAGAAGAATATGTAACTCATGACCCTAAATTAGCTTCTGTAGACTAATTCCAGGTGACATACCAAATTTTACACAGATCTAACTAAATAATGACCCTTTAGAAGCTTAAATATTGGCTTTAAGGAATCAAACTGTGGCAGCTTTTCCTCTGACAGAATTTCTCGTAATCTGTCATCCACAGATAAGTGAAAGTTGCTAACTGCATCCAAGCTTGCTTATGTAGATTAAATCAGGGTAAATTCCATAATTTTGTTGGTATAGTTTTAAAAATTGGGCAACGTTTTCAGAAGAGCACCTTCTCCTGAGGTGTTTTCCTTGCTAGGAAGTAAAAGTTTTAAAGATGTAAGCAGGAAATTATTTCTGAACATCTAAACAAAAGACTTTTTTTAATTCAGAAAGAATTTGTGGACAAGCTTTTCTTTTGACATTGATGATGTTTGTTCATAGTGTCAAACAATTAATGAATATTTTTTTCCTACTGAAGTGATAAAAACCATGGAAACAATACTGTAGCTTTATTTTCACGTTTGCATCCTACAAATGGAAGGAGTTCCAAGCAAAATGTTACTCAAAAATGCGATCTCGCCAAAGTGTATATTTCCCTTTCTGTGCAGTAACCCTACCAACAGTCTAAACTACACTGTGTAATGCAAGGAGCAAATTCATCCTGCTTTCAAAAATTACAGCCCTAATACAAACATTAGTTGAATTGACTATACTTGCTTTCAAGTTTCCAGGTCACTACTGTGTTAGAAAAAATGTCTCTGCATGAAAGAACTAATCCTTAAATTTATTTTGGCATAAAAATGGAAACATCTGTTAGTGTCTTGTTCAGCTGAGCTAAGCAGTAAGAAGTCCTTTTGTTTGTCAAATGTGTCCTCAGTAAATGTCCTTGCTCTAACAACAGATTTCAGAAGGAAAGTAAATAATTTCACGTAGATGTAAAAATTTGAAGTTACAAAACATGATCTAGCTTATTCTACAGGGGGAAAAAAATATTCAGAAGCCTTGTGCTGCATACAACATAGGCAAAACAGGCCAGTTCTTTCCATAAAGATTCTTTTTGTGCTTTCTTACCTGAAATTTGATGCTCACTGTCAGTCAGGGAGTAGAGTTCTCGCACATTAAAGGAAAAATCAGTGAAAGTGATTATTTTTAGTATAAAGACGTATGACTAAGCATGAGGAGAGAAAATTTTATATCAATAGGACTATTTTCAGAATCACATAGCGATTCAAGAAAACTTGATGTAGGTGTGCTCCATCCCCAGCCTGTGGCTTGCTTGGGCTCTCCTGTGTTTCTGAACTCAAGAGAACAGAGAAAAGTCTTCCTGCTAAGACTTTGGGGTTGTTTTTTTTTTTTTTATCTTTTGCAACTGCTACTAAGCAGCTTTGTTAAATACATGCAATAAATAAAGCTTTTCCCAAATTAAACATTTGTCCTGTGGGGCTTATCCAGGTATACCATATGACCTTACTAAATGCTGGAGTTTACTAAATTATACAGGGACCAACAGGAAATATAAAATAAAGTTTTTCTTATTCTGTGGTCTGAGAGGGTCATAGCACATTATGAATGTCAGGTTGAGGCAAGGTAAATAGGATTATGTCTTGTGGCTTGAATTTGTAATTTTGTTTTGATTTCCTGGTCATATGCAAGAAAAAAGTGCAATGCTAGGACATCCTTAGAAAATACAACTATGAGAATTGGTTACTCGTAGTACCCTGGTTTTGCATCATACAGTAAGACCATTTTAGGGTGAGCCTACGTTGAAAATTGTTTTCCAATTCTGGTAGCCATAAACCTTTTTCTGTACTTCAAATGTATATCCAGAATCTACATTTCAATCTGTGTATGAATTTTTTGAGAAATGGAGATTTAATTATTTGAGGATACCTACAAATTCTGCAAGAGAATTTTCTAGAATTCCTCATCATAAATTTGCCAGTGGTGCTGGGGTGTTTTTAAGTTCATTATTTTCTGAGAACTGCCACTGAAGTAACTTTAATTTTTACACTTGGGCTGTAAGTAGAGTCTTTGAATGCAGCCAATGTTTTCAAAACAATCCTAGTATAAAACTGAATTCAGTAAACAAGTGTTTGTTCTCTTTTCCCTTTTCTGCGTATTATGCGTAACGTTCAACAACTTACTAAAAACTCTTAAGTGTTTACACTGAATTTTAGTAACAGATCACGGTTTAATTTTATAACTGTGATCTTGTTATTTTGGTTGTATACAGAATGGAGTTAAGTGTGTTGGAGCAGTGTATTGCCCTTATACATGGGATAACTTGTACAATTGGAACAGATGGTAGAATTAGAGCTGTCTTCATGTTGTAATACAAGAGGTTCTTTAAAAAAGCCATTATGTTAAGTGACAAGAACTGCAGAAGTTTACCATAAGTGCTTGGCTCTTTGTTGGAAAGAATAGCATAATGACAGCTATGTAAGTTAGCAGAAGGAAATACTTTAAATACTTTGTAAAATAAAATTTTTCTTTATTTCCACATCTTTTGATGAGATAACATGCAAATAAAAATGATGTATTTTTAAATCTTAAAATAAGTTGTAGCAAATACCTTTATAACTTCATATAAACTGTTCTTTTTATGGTTTTTGCTTTGTTTTAGAGCTCCTGCCTGCAAGCAGTGTCAATAGGCTGGGAAGGAGGTGTTTATGTTCAAACTTGTGGTCACACTTTACACATAGATTGTCACAAATCCTACATGGAATCTTTACGGGTAAGTGAAACTATAGAACATCTTCGTCTGTTTGGATCTGAACTGTTCTTACTGGAATCAATTGGATTTATGCTGTTGAATTCAGAGAAAGAAAGGCTGGGTTTGTGTGAATGAACAAGGTGGTTTTATTATATTTCAGGAACTTTAGATACTAAAACTCTAATGTCATCTTGACATTAACAGAAGTATTTTGTTGTCAGTTATTTTGATACATCAGAAAAAATACTTGACTAAATTAACCCTGTTAAAAATCGTATTACTGTGTTTTTGTATTATTTTAATTTTCTGGTATGCATATTCAGGTAAAGCATTTCTTACAGTTTTTTCATTTCTGTGTCATAGATTCATATTTTGATGTTTGAAGTGCTAGAATTTACAGAGAAAGGGAAGAAAAATGAGGGGAATTTTACAAGTATATGCTTGTGCTTTTGGGTCTTAATATGAAAACTGAGTTACAGAAAGTTAGATTATTTTATCTCTAGGTATGTATAGTATATGTTATGTATATACATGCAGGTTAGAGAAGTGAGTTAAAAGAGTTCAACTCTTGTGAATTGCGTTTTTTTTGTTTCCCTCCTTGGAAAATACCTTTGGGAAATTACTGCTGTATATGGCTTTAAAATACAGTTTGTTAGTCAAGCCTTAGAAATCGTTGGCTAGGAAAAACATCCATTTCTTTTCACATGGTCTGAGTATGCAGGGTAGTGTTCCATTGATGTTGCTGGCCTCCACCTCCCTAAACCTCTTGTAGCCCAGTCTTCTGAATGGCACCACAGAATCTTATCACAAGCTCTGCAGTCGTAGAAGTCATCAGATTTTAAGCAATTGTTTCTTTCTGTATTATTTAATGTAATAAAATGAAGACTGATGACTTCTTACTGCATATGAAACCACCTTTTTATTGAAGATTACTTTGTGTGGTATTTCTTTAGTTTTATTTTTTCATAAGTTTTTTGTTGATTTTGTTTCCATTTTGAGGAAAAACTCTGAGCAGTGCTTTGTATTTTTAGTATCAGCTTTGGTCATACTGTAAAACTTGCCTCTAGAGAAATGGGAAGCTGTGCCACATTTATTGGACCCCATGATGAACTGTACTTTTCCATATGACTGTAAAGATACTTTCAGGGGTAATTGTGTCATCAAGATAATTAAGTAAAATCTGGGCTTTCATGGTAGAATCTAATTTTACTGAATTTTGGAAAATAAATCTTTTATACCATATACATGCTGAAGTCCCTTTGCTGGTGGATTGTCGCTTCAACTTGAAATAAACTGTAAATCCATCTCATTGTATTCTTGAAGATTTCTCATTTATTTCAGCAAACTTTTTATCCCAGATATCACTACTATCTAGATGAGTGCATAATAAATTTAACTATTTTCTAGCATTCTTAGTACTGAAATAATCCATATAGATTTGTGTTCATATGGCTAAACCATTTATTTTTACATAATACAATCAGAGATCAACATCCAGAAAGGTATGTAAAAGCCTCAGCTTTCTGGGCTGATAGCTTGAAGTTTAAATTACAGTCACTATTAATTTGCAGAAGTGGGAAATGGGTTGAGGCAATTCACAAAAGTGAAGCAAGGTTGCTTGCCAGTAATCGGAGTACTCAGGAGAGGTGCTTACTTCCCAGACACATACTCCCATCTCCATTTTTTGATCCATTATGAAAAATAATTCAGAGTTTTATCATGCTACCCTCCACTGGCTAGTTGATCAGGTTCTTTCAGCCTGTACTTCTGAGAAATATCTTCAAACATTTCTCATTGCTGAAAATAAAATTGTCTTTAAAAGATCTTATCACAGGAGTCTCAAACTTTATTGGAATTGCTAGAAAGAGACAACACACACGGAATGTTCAAAATACCCCATTAAAGGATTTCTAGTTTATTATGGGGATATTGCTGGCAATGAAAAGTACTTAAAAATTAGGAAGATCAGTTGAGTAGGAGGGGTTGTAAGACAGTCTCATAAGTCTCATAGTTAAGACCTTCTTCATTAAATGAGGAGCTATTCCAAGTATTTTTTTTTTTTTTTTACAATTTTTGGTTTTAAAGCTAGTTCTTTAACTATACACCTGAAATATCAGACTGAAAATTATAATCTTTTGCAAATTTCGACTGCATCTTCTTTATTTTTCTTTCAGAATGACCAGGTCCTGCAGGGGTTTTCAGTGGACAAAGGAGAATTTACCTGTCCCCTCTGTAGGCAATTTGCTAACAGTGTTCTTCCTTGTTACCCTGGAAACAACGTGGAAAGAAGCCTTTGGCAAAGTCACAGTAACAAGTGTATGCAAGATCTTGTGCAAGAGGTGGAAGATCTTCAAGAACAGCTGGGAACTTTCCCAGTAAGCATCAGTGTAAGGCAGAAAGATCCTTGTTAATTTGCCTCTACCTTTCAGTTCTTACATTATGTTGCATTTGTGACCTCTTAGAAACTTGACAACCTGGGAAACTTCATTTTCTCCTGATATGGAAGACGGCATAATTTTATTTTTATTTTTTTTTAACATCAAGAGATTTTAAATATTTACAGTACTTGCTGCATTACCTACTAAAAATAAACAATTAAAAAGCTATGACAAAATGTGATTAATATAATTTTTATGAAGTACAGTTACACTTCTCTCCACAGTAATTTACATAGAATTGAGTCATGTAATATAAGTTTCATTTATCATTTCTTTACAATGTAAAACCACCAATATCCTTTTAACTGGAAGCTATTTAAAGAATGTCTGTTTAAGAACATTTTGAAGTATGGATTATTTGTTTTACAGAAAGAGCAGTTTGCAGACATTCATGTATTAAAAGCTTCATGAGGTCTTTCTGAATGATAGAGTTAATTCTATTAAATTTTACTAGCCTTCCAGTCTTGATGGAAATACAAAGTATTACTTTTGTGTACTTCTGCAATGCAGATATACTTTAAAATAACACACACAGTGAGATCCTTAAACCTAGGAGATGGACAAAACAGTGATGTTTTCATTTTCAGAACAAACCGGAGTAACTTTCAGAATAATGTAACACTTCTGTGAAATAGAATATTGGCTTTTAATGTATATTTTTCATAGCCTGCAAATGTGTTTTTATAAATATCAAAGTGCTACGCTTTGCAATCAGCTACTGCATTTCTTCGGGTAAAATTAACTAATCTTCTTTTATGTCTTTGTTCATAGTCTGAAACCAATCTCAGTAAAGAAATGGAATCTGTAATGAAAGATATAAAAAGTACGACGCAGAAGAAGTATACAGATTACAGTAAGACTCCTGGATCACCTGACAATGATTTTCTGTTTATGTACTCAGTAGCCAGGTGGGTATTGTTTTCTTTGTATTTTTTTCTTCCGTGTTTCACACTAAGGGTTTTACTCACCAGACAGTTTTCTTAAAAAAACAAAAAAAAAAACCCAACCAAAAAAACCAACCCCAAAAAAACAAAAACCACCAAACCACAACAAACATCCTCTCCAAAAAGTACTTTTTGAGTACTTAGTACATCAAGGTTACATTTCCTAATATTCATATGCAGACATATGCAAGATGGAAAGATGTGCCTATCACTTAATATTTAGCATATGCAGCAGTGGCTTAAAACCTGGGGAACATTCTGTCATATGCTTATCTAGTTTTCTTCTTTATTCAAGGTTTTGCTTTCCATATAGTCAAAATTTTATGTTGAATTTCTTTTTCAGCCTTACTTTCCCAAATTGTCAAATCTCCTTTACTTCTATTTAGCAGAATTAGATTATTTCTATATCACTGCCATATTGCTGTTATTTTAAATCACAGGGCGTTCTTAATCTCTCCGTCAGATAGTCGTTTTATTTACTTAAATGGGGATCACAGAAGGAGCTTTTTCTACATCAGCAACCAGGAATCTCTCTTTGTGTGATCGGACTTCTAAAAAAAGTGTCAAAACTACCAGCATTTTCTCTGTGATGTTTGATTCCAGTTTTATGGCTGTCAGTGTTGCAGACACTGTCTCCAGGAAAATCAAAACAGTCCCTCCTTCCATCTGTATCATAAATGTTAAGATGCTCTGAATGGTTACTCTGTTCAGATTTACTGTAGTACAGTGATTCAGTAGCATTTTTTTATTGCAGTTTCATAGACTCTAGTTGCTGAGTGTCTTTAGTGTATAAGCAGTGGAAATACTCAAGACGTGGCTCAGCAGGACTCTGGATAATCAAATCTAAAGCTCAGCTTTTGACAGAAGGTTGGACCATCTGATCTCCAGAATTCTCTTCCAACCTACATTATCGTATATATAAGAAATATTACCTGTATTTTTAAGAATACCTTTACTGTGCCTTAAGAGCAGCAATTATATTTTATGTATAGCAGATTATTCTATATTAAGTGGTATATGCTATACAAAGTTAAGTAATGTTGAGATTTTTAGCAATGTGTTTGGTCACTGTAATTTAATATCCTTCCAAAAATACAAAGGACTCAAAATTAGTGTTTCCCATGTAAAAGTACGATTACTTGTAACCATAATTTGATGTGCTATTTAAGGTACAAAAATGGTGTTATAATACACTTCTAGGTGTAATGTTGTATAATTTTAAAAATGCTAGCTAAATATATTTTAAATATGTCTATAGTTTATTATTTTTTTTTAATTAACATCCCAAGCCAAAGATTTTTGTTTTCATTCCAAGAGTTAAAAAAAATCAGAACAGTGTTTTGTTGCTGCTTGCACTGCTGGAGAGAGAAATTGTGGTTGACCACTAACATTAGGATATGCCACCTGTAGTCATAGTGACCCCTCCTTGTTAGGCTAGACTAGCAATTTCCCATTTGTCCATGGCTGAAGGATTTTGGGTGTTGGGTCCAGTCTTGCGTGTTGTTACCATAACTCATAAGGTCACTTAGGAGGGTGCAGATTAGCTGCAAAACGGTTAATCTCTCTTGCCTTTTGGTCCAGC